AGTGGCAGTGGGGAAGCGAGCACAGTGGTGGCACAGGGATCAAGAGACCATTAAACATCTGGGGACCCTGTGTGATCACCACAGACCTGTATAGAAATACAGTGCCTTAGCCAACTGCACCACTGGAGCTGTTGTTTGTGCTGCATCCTTCATCCTGGAATTGATGCGGCTGGGAATCCATATTCCTCGACTCCAGGCCAGCAACTGTGATCAGTCCATCAAGCGGGTGATTTGCTCAGTTAGCAAGCCTTTTAAACAATGCAGTTGAAACTATAGCGGATTGATCACAGCAATTATCTGATCAAGGCTGGCTCTCCCCTGAAGCTGCTTCAGCTAAAGGCTTGGAATAGGAAGTGCTTTAGAGGAAATGACATGTTTATTCTTACCCTGCCCCGAGCCATGCGGAATGGTGTTGGCGGATCCCAAGGGAGAGATGCACACAGACCTTTCCCAGCTGCCGGCTAGTTGGAGAAGGGGGAAGAGGAGAAGCAGTAGAGGGACCGGGGGCCGGGGGGGCAGTGCTTTTTGCCTTCTTTTCATCCAATATATCAGGGCCTTTGGGGCAAAGATTGCGGGTGTCACACACAAAACAGTTGCTATAGGGAATCCCGTGTGGAGTGCTCCTGTTCAGGGTGCTGGCCAGCCATGCCCGTTTCCTGAATACTCCATTCCATTCCCCGCCCACCTGAAATAGACACTCGATATTCCGTGGTCACTGAGCATGCTCAGTCTCCCTTGGGAAGTTTTTGTGAGATCCTAATAATAATAATAATAATAATAATAATAATAATAATAATAATTTATTATTTATACCCCGCCCATCTGGCTGGGTTTCTCCAGCCACTCTGGGTGGCTTCCAACAGAATTTTAAAATACAATAACCTATTAAACATTAAAAGCTTCAGTGTCCGGGCATAATGATGGGGGTGGAGACGCTCCTTCAGGTCAAGTGATGCTGTGTGGGCTATAATAATAATAATAATAATAATAATAATAATAATAATAATAATTTATTTATACCCTGTCTATCTGGCACTGTGGTTGGCTTTCAACAGGATATTAAAAACACAGTAAAAGATCAAACATTAAAAACTTCCCTAAACAGGGCTGCCTTCAAATGTCTTCTAAACATCAGATAGTTCTTTATTTCCTTGACATTTGATGGGAGGGCGTTCCACAGGGCGGGGGCCACCACCGAGAAGGCCCTCTTGCTGGTTCCCTGTAACCTTGCTTCTCGCAAGGAGGGAACCACCAGAAGGCCCTCAGAGCTGGACCTCAGTGTCCAGGCTGAATGATGGGGATGGAGACACTCCTTCAGGTATACTGGGCTGAGGCCGTAACTGATGATTCACACTCAGACGACAAGTTCGCTGTTAGTATTTCAGATCTCCTTTTTGGAGAGGAGAATCCGGGGAGAGCAAATACCTTTCCTCCCTGCAGGTCCTCCTCCACTTAACCTTTGAAAGAGCCCCTATTTTCTCAGAGAAGCTATCCAGCTCCAGCATTGAAACCTGTATGTTGGATGGAAGCAGGATTTTTGCAAGAGAAAATGGGAGTCTAGAAAACGAGAGGGATTTCAGGGACACCATAAACATCCAGCGTTTTTCTTAGCCAACATTTCTCAGAGAGATTAATTTTTCCAAAAGCAGATTCCACCCCCAGTCTCTCATGGAGGCAGCGTTCCAGGTTTGCTGACAACATGTCGTGACCTCTAGATAGCTCAGGATTTTGCCTGACCACAATAAGCATCCCTGAGCTTCATCTTGGTCAAATTGCCCTGGCTTATATTTCTCAAGAACTGCTCCAGATTTGGCACCATTGTGGAGCCAAGAGAACTCAAGGTGCCTCTCTAGAGACAAACGCCGCAATTATTTCATCCGAATGAGTTTCTCAGATATTTCTTCTGAAGGAGGAAATGGGGAGAGGGGGGGAGAAAAGGGGACTTTTTGTCGAATGGGCTGGAGGAAGGCAAGACAGAGGGGGAGGAAAGGTCTTGAGGAGTTTCTTCCCTTAACATTTTGACTGCTTCACCTTTAGCTGGAGAGCTACATCCAGATGAATATGAAGTCGGAAATGGTGCAGATCCAGCAGAATGTGGTGCAGAACCAGACGGCCACGATGCTGGAGATTGGGACGAACCTCTTGAACCAAACAGCGGAGCAGACCAGGAAACTGACCGACGTGGAGGCTCAGGTGGGTTGGTGGAGGTTTTCTAATGGGAAAGAGGGTTGAAGAAGAAAAGAAATACGGAAAAATTGTTATGTCAGTCTAGATGATACCCCGGTGTCCCTTCCAAATCCGCAATCCTGTAGTTCATAGAATCATAGAATCATAGAGTTGGAAGAGGCCACAAGGGCCATCGAATCCAACCCCCTGCCAAGCAGGAAACACCATCAGAGCACTCCTGACATATGGTTGTCAAGCCTCTGCTTAAAGACCTCCAAAGTAGGAGACTCCACCACACTCCTTGGCAGCAAATTCCACTGTCAAACAGCTCTTACTGTCAGGAAGTTCTTCCTAATGTTTAGGTGGAATCTTCTTTCTTGTAGTTTGGATCCATTGCTCCGTGTCCGCTTCTCTGGAGCAGCAGAAAACAACAGTTGTAAGGATAGAGTGCATTATTTGTTTATAAAATATATTTATAGGCGGGGGGCTGTGGGTTAAACCACAGAGCCTAGGACTTGCCGATCAGAAGGTCGGCGGTTCGAATCCCTGCGACGGGGTGAGCTCCTGTTGCTCGGTCCCTGCTCCTGCCAACCTAGCAGTTCGAAAGCACGTCAAGGTGCAAGTAGATAAATAGGTACCGCTCCGGCGGGAAGGTAAACGGTGTTTCCGTGCACTGCTCTGGTTCGCCAGAAGTGGCTTAGTCATGCTGGCCACATGACCTGGAAGCTGTACGCCGGCTCCCTCGGCCAGTAAAGCGAGATGAGCGCCACAACCCCAGAGTCGGCCACGACTGGACCTAATGGTCAGGGGTCCCTTTACCTTTATACTTCATTCCAGCTTCATGTTTTCTTCTGTGCCTTGCGCAGGTACTCAACCAGACCTCCCGCATTGAGATCCAGCTCCTGGAGAACTCTCTGTCCACCAATAAGCTGGAGAAGCAGCTGCTGATGCAGACGAATGAGATCCACAAGCTGCAGAACCGAAACAGGTAGGTGTTGTTGCTGTGCAGGTGAATTCCTGCAGACAGGAGGCGGGCAGGTGTGGAGGACTCCCTGGTCCTGAATGGGGTAACTGTGCCCCTGAAGGACCAGGTGCGCAGCCTGGGAGTCATTCTGGACTCACAGCTGTCCATGGAGGCACAGGTCAATTCTGCGTCCAGGGCAGCTGTCTACCAGCTCCATCTGGTACGCAGGATGAGACCCTACCTGCCCGCAGACTGTCTTGCCAAAGTGGTGCATGCTGTAGTTATCTCCCGCTTGGACTACTGCAATGCGCTCTATGTGGGGCTACCTTTGAAGGTGACCTGGAAACAACAACTAATCCAGAATGTGGCAGCTAGACTGGGGACTGGGGGCGGCCGTCGAGACCATATAACACCAGTGTTGAAAGACCTACACTGGCTCCCAGTACGTTTCCGAGCACAATTCAAAGTGTTGGTGCTGACATTTAAAGCTCTAAACGGCCTCAGCCCAGTATACCTGAAGGAGCGTCTCCACCCCCATCACTCAGCCGAGACACTGAGGTCCAACACCGAGGGCCTTCTGGCGATTTCCTCATTATGAGAAGCCAAGTTACAGGGAACCAGGCAGAGGGTTCTCTGTTGAATAAATGTGAATAAATGTGTAATTTATTGTTACTGTTACTGCTATTATCTTCCTTTGTGGGTTGAACCACTATTTTGAATAATACTTTATATAGGCTAAGGTAGAGGGGGCACTGGGTGAGTTTATGGAACCAAGCGAGCGATGCCCGAAAAAGTTTGGGAATCACTGTATTTACGGGACCGCCTCTCCTGGTATGCCCCACAGAGGACCTTAAGGTCCATGAATAATCATAGTTTAGAGGTCCCAGGCCCTAATGAAATCAGACTATCCTCCACCAGGGCCAGGGCCTTCTCAGTGATGGCTCTGACCTGGTGGAATGCTCTGTCCCATGAGACCAGGGCCCTGCAGGATTTAGCTTCCTTCCACAGGGCCTGTAAGACAGAACTATTCCTCCTGGCCTTTAATTTGAATTCAGCCAGATCTTTTATTCCCCTTCATTCCCTCCCTCCCCTTTTATGAAGATTACCCGCTTTGGGATCCCATGGCTAATTCTCCCTGGTCTCCACGCTGGCCCAAATAGGACTAATTTAGCCAGCTAGCCTTGGTGATCATCGAGTGTTTATTGGTTGAATTTCCCCCTAAATTGATTTTTGAATTCTGAATTTGTTATTCACATTTTATACTGTATTTTATGCTGTTTTCTGTTGCATCAATTAAGTGTTTTAAATTTGTTGTTAGCCGCCCTGAGCCCGGTTTTCTGAACCGGGAAGGGTGGGGTATAGATAAAAAATATTATTATTTATTAATGCAAATCATTCTCTCTTTCATTAGTTGCTACAAACACATTCTCTCGGGTAAAAGGAATCTCCCAGTTTGCTAATCCTATGAGCCAGAACCCAGCAGGGCTTGGATGATTCCCTGTCCAGAAATGTACTCAGGAGGCTTTGAAATAAATCTATCCTCAACTGCAATTGGCTCTCTTCCTTATCTCAGTCTTGCTCTCCCTGGACTGCAGATCTCAGCTTCCCAATTACTGAGTTTCTCTCCCAGCCATCACTGTCCATGGCTCTGCTGATATGTGAGGACCTCTTGGTTTCTCTCTAATTCCAGCAGTCTTGTCCAAAGGAGCACCTCGTTCCATTAGGTCACTAATGGATTTGTTGGCTGAGGACCAATATACGTTCCTGTGGGTTTTGCTGCTTGGTTCCCAGAAGATAAGGAGCAAAGGATAAAGCGAGTTCCATTGACATGGGGATGGAGGGTGCGCAAGTTCTCAAAGTGGTGCAGGATCCAGCATTCGTCCTGTAGAAATAATGGGCAATGACTAAGGTCAGTCCATTAATTTCAGTGGGTCTACCCTGACGCGGGTGGTGCTGTGGGTTAGACCACATAGCCTAGGACCTGCTGATCAGAAGGTCAGTGGTTCAAAATATTCCTTAAACTAGAAATCAAAATTAAAAGCTATATGGAGTCACTTTGGAGTGACTTTGGTTTCCATGCTGCAGTTCCCCTCCATTCTTGCGAAGGATCCAAACTGTGCTGAGATCAGAGTTTGTTGCATTCCGGCCAGCTGGCTTCCCAAAGTTTTTGGGGGATGATTTCTCTTGCAACCCGCAGCACTTTTGGGATTGTTCCTAAGATGCGTTTGCCGTGCCAAACTGTTATGAAAAGCCAATTTATGGCCATCTTGCCTGGCCAAAGAAAGGTGATGGGGGCAGCGGGGAGAGAAGCCAATCGTGAAGCACCAATATGGCGCAGAAGCGTCACGAGAGAAGTTGTCTTTTTTAAAAATAAAATCCCTGATGGCTGCAAAAATAAACTGATGAAGTGCCTGGTGATGACAGCAGCAGCGGCGTCAGTGACAGAGTCGTAGAAGTTGCTTGTTCCGGCCTTCGTTGCTCCAGAACACATGCACGCACTCTCTCCTTGGGGGACGGTCTCTAAAAATGGCAAGCATGAGAACATACAAAGAGCCCTGCTAGATGCAGGAGGTTAAGGGGTGATATGATAGCCATGTTCAAATCTATAAAAGGATGCCACATAGAGGAGGGAGAAAGGTTGTTTTCTGCTGCTCCAGAGAAGCGAACACGGAGCAATGGATCCAAACTACAAGAAAGAAGATTCCACCTAAACATTAGGAAGAACTTCCTGACAGTAAGAGCTGTTTGACAGTGGAATTTGCTGCCAAGGAGTGTGGTGGAGTCTCCTACTTTGGAGGTCTTTAAGCAGAGGCTTGACAACCATATGTCAGGAGTGCTCTGATGGTGTTTCCTGCTTGGCAGGGGGTTGGACTCGATGGCCCTTGTGGTCTCTTCCAACTCTAGGATTCTATGCTGGATCAAGCCAAAGGTCCATCTAGTCCAGCATTCTGATCTCACAGGGCCACTGAGATGCCTGCAGGAAATCTGCAAGCAGGACTTGATCTTTTTTTTAAAGCCATCCAAGTTAGTGGCCTTAAAAAAAAAGGATTAGGCAATCCATGGAGGAGGAGAGGGCAATCGTTGACTACTTGCCATGCTGACTTTGTTTTGCCTTCACAGTTGGAGGAAGCAATGCTTCTGAATTTCAGTTGCTGGAAACGGCAGGAGTTGTTAGTGGCCGGGACACAGGTGGTGCTGTGGGTTAAACCACAGAGCCTAGGGCTTGCCGATCAGAAGGTTGGCAATTTGAATCTGGCCACATGACCCGGAAGCTGTACACTGGCTCCCTCGGCCAGTAAAGTGAGATGAGCGCCACAACCCCAGAGTCGGCCATGACTGGACCTAATGGTCAGGGGTCCCTTTACCCTTACCTTGTTGTTGTTTAGGGGTCCCTTTACCCCTTACCTTGGTCAGGGGTCCCTTTACCCTTACCTTGTTGTTGTGTGTCCGACTCTTCGTGACCCCCTGGACCAGAGCACGCCAGGCCCTCCTGTCTTCCACTGCCCTCTGCAGTTTGGTCAAACTCATGCTGGTCACTTCAAGAACACTGTCCCACCATCTCATCCTCTGCCGTCCCCTTCTCCTTGTGCCCTCCATCTTTCCCAGCATCAGGGTCTTTCCCAGGGAGTCTTCTCTTCTCATGAGGTGGCCAAAGTATTGGAGCCTCAGCTTCAGGATCTGTCCTTCCAGTGAGCACTCAGGGCTGATTTCCTTTACCTTACCCTGGGTTAAGAACTTAATTCGTTCTGGAGGTCCGTTCTTAACCTGAGGTACCACTTTAGCTAATGGGGCCTCCCGCTGCCGCCAAGCGATTTCTGTTCTCATCCTGAAGCAAAGTTCTTAACCTGAGGTACTATTTCTGGGTTAGCGGACTCTGTAACCTGAAGCGTCTGTAACCTGAAGTGTCTGTAACCTGAGGTACCACTGTACTACTTCTTTATTGTGTATTGTTCTGATGTGGGAATGTTGTGGGTAACAGGAGAGGATATGTTGATTAAATATTACCCTTCCTAACTCATGCTAATGAGTTTATTCATTCAGCAGAGTACATTCCCCTCTTTACACAGCCAGAAGCTAGTTGCAGATTCGTTAGAATCTCTTAAGCTCTATTATTCCTGGTAAGACCCCTTTGATTCCCTCCTAAAAGAATAAAGACACAACAGTGTTGTTCATAAGTCACAATAAGAAGTTCACTCACAATCAGGGCACAGTGTGGTCCCTGAAGGCAGGCCTTGTGGCTTGAAGTCACAAATACATAAAAGTGGGTTTACCCCATATGGGTATATCCCTGTAATGCTGGCTGCAATCCAGGAGGCAAAGGGAGAGTCAAAAGAGGGAGATGGCTGTGCGACTGGACCTTTGGTTAGGTCTGGAAGGGTCACACCCATCTACCTGGTCTCAACTAGGGCCAGGGTCTTTTCAGTACTGGCCCCAACTTGGTGGAACTCTCTGTCACAAGAGACTAGGGCCCTGTGGAAATTGACATCTTTCTGCAGGGCCTGCAAGACTGAGCTGTTCCGCCTAGCCTTTGGTTTGGACTCATTTTTATAATAATAATAATATCTTTATTGTCATTGCCCCCTCTCGGGGACAACGAAATTACTCGGTCTGACCCTTATGTTTCCCTCCCCTTATGGTCTTGATTTATCGGCTACTTTTAAAATGAGGCTGCATTTTAAAATGCATTTTAACCTGTATTTTAAATTGGTTTTTTCTTCTTCCCCCTATTATGTTTTTTACTGTGATTTTATTGGTGTTAGCCGCCCTGAGCCCGGCTCTGGCCAGGGAGGGCGGGGTATAAATAAAACATCATTATTATTATTATTATTATTATTATTATTATTATTATTATTATTATTGGAAGGATGCTCCAGACCAGGTGTAACAGGAAGTTCAACTGGCTGGACCAACATTCCCCTGCATGTTCACTCTAGACAAACAGGAAATGTTGTACTTTACTGCTCCAGTGGATTACATCCCACATCTGATGACTCAGATGGTGTGCTTGCACCACCCTACATCTACAGGTTTGGGGCAAGAGCTTTACTGTCCCTAAATTTCCAACTATCTTTACACCTAAAACAAGACCCACATCCTGGTGAATCCCACAGATGTACTCTGTGGATGTGACTGCGCGGCCCTCAAGGCAGGTGCCCGCTTTTTACGCTGACCGCCTTCTTAAAAGTGTCTCTTGCCAGCTCTGTGCAAATCTGCCAGCCATCTGCCCTGCAGTTCTGTTGCCCTCATTCCCTCTCCTTCCTCCCTTGGCAGTATTTTGGAAACCCGAGTCCTGCAGATGGAGACAAAGCACCTGATGGAACTGGAAGGGATCCGGACGGAGAAGGAGGAGCTGCAGCAGCTGGTGATTCGCCAGAGCGACACCATCGAGGTCTTGGAGAAGTCTCTCCACGCCGCCAGCGGCAACACCAGCCTGCTCCAACAACAGCAGCTGCAGCTTTTGGAGTCGGTTCAGAATTTGGTCCAGCTGGTCTCCCAAGGCAAAGGTGAGCTCAGAGCCACCGGAATAAATCACGCTTTATCTCAAATGAGGCAGCTTCCAAGCCGCTGCTGCTTCAGAGCTCCAGATGATGTGCATACTAGCCAGAGGTCCACCGCAGACGGAGATAGCTCAACAGTTCACAGTCTTCTTACTCCTTTTTCTGAACTCTCCTGGCTGCTTACACAGGTCCCACCTGCCGGCAGCTTCTCTCCCTGTCCCTCCTTCCTAGTCTCCCCTTCCAAAATGAACTTTCCTTTCCTTAGCAGAGTCGCACCTTTTTGCCAATGTTCCATCATCAGGACTTTCCCCTCTGGACTGCTTGATTTGTGAACATTCCTTTACATCAGAGCAGCCGAGCCAATGGGAAGAGGGAGTGGGAGGAAGCCTCCAGCGATGCTCTGGGTCATTTGAAAGTTCAGGTGTGCAGGAGAATAGCGCACGAGGCCAATTTGGCGCAACTTACAGCAAAGAGTGGACGCGTTCCATTGTGAGGGATGCTTTTGAAAAACTTAAAATTCTACGTTGCTTTCTAAATATTAAAGCAATATTTTGTTGGAAGCTGCCCAGAGTGGCTGGGGAAGCCCAGCCAGATGGGCAGGGTATAAATTTTATTATTATTATTATTATTATTATTATTATTATTATTATTATTATTAGTGTAGCAACTTTTCAAACTCAGTGCTTTTATACCATGTCTTCCCATCCCCACCTGCAATAAACTCAGGTTAGATCCACAACATACCTTTCAAGCACATCAAATGCACCTGGCATAGATCCTGGGAACTATAGTTCCCCTGCACAGTGCAACAATTCACTTAATAAGCTACGGTTCACAGAACTCCTTGGGGGAGGTTGTGCACTTTAAATGTGCATTGGGTGTTTGTTAAATGCATGGTGTGGATCTGCCCAGAATATTACTGGAAGGATGAGGATCTTCCAGGTGCTGTTGAACTACAACTCCCGTCATCCCTAACCATTGGTCATGCTGGCTGCATCTGGAGAGTCACAGTTTCCCCACTCTGGTCTTTAGCTTGGATTGATGAAGAAAGAACAAGGCAGGAATTAGTAAATATAATCACAGTTTTCCCCAAGCAAATTTTAAATAGGGATTTTATTCACATTTCAAATAGGGAAATTTGCTTGAGACGGGGAGCTCACTGTCGCTGTATCCATGCCCCAAAATGCTTATTTAATTTGGAGAGGCCAACTCTTTAGCATTTTACTTTCTCTTGCTAGTTCCTCCAAAGAAAGAAGACCGGCTGTTCCAGGACTGCGCAGAAATCCGCCAATCTGGAATTAATCTCAGTGGGGTTTACACCCTCCATATCAACAATCTGACTGAACCCAAGAAGGTCAGTGAAACCCCAAGAGCCTATGAACTGAGGCAGGGAGAAGGATCATTGCTCAATTTGTACAGCTAAAAAAAGCACCTTGGTTCTCCTACCGTCAGTGCTTCTAAAGGAATCTGACCCTGTTAAGTTGTGGATGAACATATCAGACAACACATCGATTCTTCAAACAGCTCTTGTTTATTCACAGGCCAGAACTGAACTGAAGGGTTCAGCCACCCTTCTTATATAGAGCTCCACTACAGCGCAACAGTAACCACTTTCTGTAACTATCCAATCACTGAACGTCATTTTCAATCCCTTATTTGCATATATGGACCTGAGTGAAAACTATCCATAGTATCCCCCTGCTGGCCCAGGGTGAGAACTTCAGTACATAACAGACCCTCTCTAAAGCTGTCTGGAAAACGTCCTGGTCTAGAAACGGGTTCTGCAAAGGCCCAATGTTTCCCAAACTTGGGTTTCCAGCCGTTGTTGGACTACAAATCCCATCATCCTTGACCGCTGGTCCAGCTAGCTAGGGATGATGGGAGTTGTAGTCCTAAAGCAGCTGAAGACCCAAGTTTGAGAAACATTGGCAGCTAAGCAAAGGAGGGGCAGGGAGATTTTATTCAAATGGATTGCCTTTCTGCGCTTGGTTCTGGTGGCTAGATTTTGCTTTGGGCTGGGGAACATTCATGGGTTCAAGGGGAAATTGGTAGGACCTGGAAGGAGCTCTGGAACACAGGAAATTTCCTTACAACTTCTATATAGACCATTGGCCTATATAGTTCAGTATTGTCTACACTGACGGGCAACACCTCTCTGGCATTTATTTTATTATTTCATTTCATAAAATGTATACGCCACTTCAATATCACATGCTTTTTCTTGTTAAATAATGATTACTTGCCATCATGACACTGGAGTTAAACACAGAATCTAAACACTGCTTTTCTTGGTGGAAGTCTCTGTTGACTAAAGGTAAAGGTAAAGCGACCCCTGACCATTAGGCCCAGTCGTGACCAACTCTGGGGTTGCGGCACTCATCTCGCTTTATTGGCCAAGGGAGCCAGCGTACAGCTTCTGGGTCATGTGGCCAGCATAACTAAGCCACTTCCGGCGAACCAGAGCAGCGCATGGAAACGCCGTTTACCTTCCCGCCGGAGTGGTACCTATTTATCTACTTGCACTTTGATGTGCTTTCGAACTGCTAGGTTGGCAGGAGCAGGGACCGAGCATCGGGAGTGCACCCCGTCGCAGGGATTCGAACCGCCGACCTTCTGATCGGCAGGTCTTAGGCTCTGTGGTTTAACCCACAGCGCCACCCGCACTACGCACATGCAAATTGTTCATTCCAAGCCAGGTTCAGTGCTTGCACATTTCCGCATCAGTTTCCAGCGTTGTTTATTATTTTTTTTAAAAAAGAAGTCCTTATGGCATCTGCAAAGATCAGATTCTTCCAATATCCATAGGCTCAGCTGTGTTTCTGCCTCTTGTTCCTTCCATCTGAGCATCCTCTGCTTTCTTCCTTTACAGACCTATTGTGATATGGAGACGGATGGAGGCGGCTGGACAGTGATCCAGTACAGAGTCAATGGCAGCGTCAGCTTCCAAAAGAACTGGAAAGAGTACAAACAGGTCTGATTCTCCCTTGGACTTGTCATCCTCAATCCGTCAGATCTTTTCGATCAAAAGTAGAAAGAGCGGAGACCACATAGCAATCACCACGGGGCCAATAGCAGCCCACGGCTTTGCTGACCCACTGGCTTCCTGAGGCCATGCGCCAGTGTGCATAATTTTATGCAGAGGAAACTTGCTCGCCACAGTTTGATCAGTTGCACAATCTTCTCTCCCAAATCAAGCAGGGGGAAACCGTATACCGGGGCTCTGCACAGCACTGATTGGCCAGGCAAGGTGAAGTCACCAACCCACTTTGCTCTCCCTCCCCAATCACTGTTTCAGCATCCAAAAAATTATTCAGTAGTGATGGATTCAAGGAAGGGGGCAAATGGGCATTCTTCTGGATAAATTACTTTAAACGTAAAAAAACGAGACAGCTGATCTGAAGCCGGGCAGTACATTAACACAGCAGGAGCTTCTTCTTCTCCATGTTACACAAAGTAACAAGAGGGAATCGGAAGGTTGGAGTCAACTAAATTACTTTCAGAGTAGACCCAGTGAAATTAATGGACTTGGACTATTCATGTCTATTAATGAGTCTACTCTGAACTAACATTGGATACAACCAATAGTGTTGGAAATGACCACAGAGTTAATCTCACCTTTCCTACCATGGAACCTGCCCCCCCCACCCAGAAAAATATGTGCCATCTGATTTTTACAAGACATTGCAGTGTGGAGAGCTCCTGTTCAGGGTTCCAGCCAGCCAACTGTGGTCCTCTTGCCAAATACTCCATTCCGTTCTGTTCCTCTTCCCAGTTTTCTGTCCCATTCTCCAGAATACTCAGCACGCTGTTGCTCTTCATCTGTCTGTTTTTTGGGGGGAAGGTTGCCTAAATATTTTTTCCCTAAATGATGATTGTACATCTGCAGACCTTGGAGTTCTCTGGACCATGCTGATCCCATTTCTTCTCTCTCTCCCCCACCCGTGGTCCCATTTCGACCGCAATCCTTTCAGCCCTCACCGGCTGAATTCAATATTCATGGGAGGAACAGCCTCTTAGCTGATATATGCTGAGAACTTAATTGAGCAACCCACTTAGTGCTTTGTGTTTTGCCTCTCCCAGGGCTTTGGGGATCCAGCAGGAGAATACTGGCTGGGGAACGAGGCAGTCCACCTCTTGACCAACCAGGGAGCCTATTCTCTGAGGGTCGAACTCCTGGACTGGGAAGGAAATCGCGCCTACGCACACTACGAAAAGTTGCAGCTGGGAAGCGAGCGTCAGCGATACAGGTAACAGTAAGAGCTGTCCGACGGTGGAATTTGCTGCCAAGGAGTGTGGTGGAGTCTCCTTCTTTGGAGGTCTTTAAGCAGAGGCTTGACAACCATATGTCAGGAGTGCTCTGATGGTGTTTCCTGCTTGGCAGGGGGTTGGACTCGATGGCCCTTGTGCTCTATTCCAACTCTATGATTCTATGATTCTATGATTTTATGTGGTCTTTGCCAACTGTATGCAAACAGCATGGTAGGTGTTTATCGGCAGGGTTCAAATCCCCACTCAGCCGTGGAGCTCACCTGGGGCCAGTCGCCATCTCTTAGCCTAGCCTACCTCAAAGGGTTGCTGTGCGGATGAAATGGGGGGGGGGAGAGAGAACCATGGACAACACAGTTCAGACCCTCCGAGTGTCCCTGTTTTCCAGGGACAGTCCCGGATTTACAAAAGCCATTCCGGTTTTCTGATCTTACCCCGGAATGTCCCGCTTTTCCTTAGGACATTCCTATTTTCATTGGAGAAATGTTGGAGAGTTTGGTAAAGGTAAAGGGACCCCTGACCATTAGGTCCAGTCGTGGCCGACTCTGGGGTTGTGGCGCTCATCTCGCTTTACTGGCCGAGGGATTGGGTGGCTTCTGTGGACTAATCAGATTGCTGCATTCTGGACCCTATTGTTCTAGGACCAATCAGACTGCTGCATTTTGGATCCTATTCAACTCAGTACATAACAGGGACAGCTTCTGTAATTCCTGGACTGTCCCTGGAAAATCAGGACGCTTGGAGGGTATGAGATCACCTTCATTTTAGAGCTAATCCCTGTCTGGAATCTGATAGAGAACTGATCTCACCTCCTAAACCACTGAGCTCCATGGAGATTCCACCCGGGGGGTTTTCGTACGTGCTTCAAGCACCAAACCAGCCAAAGCCACCCGAATGAAAATGCTTGTTCTGGCCAGCTTAGAAGGAGATTTGAACCTACTCTGATAAAGGCGAAGGGGCTTGGACAAGTTGTTCTGAGAGTGCTTTGCCCTGGAGGTCAGCCACCTAGCAAATCATCAGCCCCGGGTGCAGGGACCGTCTCCTGTGGGTTTAATGGGGAATCTGAACCCATCTCAGGTGGCCTCTTGTGAGAGAACTTTGCCACCTAGCAAATCTCCAGCTCTGTTTGTGTCTTCACCTCCGCTTTCCTTGGGAGCTGCCCATCCAAGAGATGAGTGTGCCAAGCCTCCTTTAACTTGCTGGTATTTATGGATGTGACTAAGGGTTTCTGGCGAGCAACTGTTTCTCAGAGAACATGGTGCTCTTTCAGCGTGTCTTCCTTGCCCTCTGCTCACCAGGCAAGGACACTTCTCATTTCATCTGCTTTTGATCTGCTGAGGTATTTGTGGATTTCCAAAAACATAATAATAATAATAATAATAATAATAATAATAATAATAATAATAATAAATTTTATTTATATCCCGCCCTCCCCAGCCGAAGCCGGGCTTAAACCTGATCCTGTACTCCATCATCATCATCATCATCTCTCTCTCTCTCTCATTTTTATTTATTTTCCATTTAATAACATACATTCACATCATTCACTTTACCTCCCTGGCTCTTTAGAGCCTATTGACTTCCTTCCCTCCCGCCTCATGGCTTTCAAAATTAACCTTTATATCATTTCATTTTGTACATTTTCCAATTCCAATTACACTCATTACAAAATAGCTCAAAATTTAAATAAATATAGAAAGGGAGAAGACTTATCATTACAAGTTAATTGCTAATTGCTTACAATAATCTTTCAGATATTGCATAAATTTACTCGTCCTTTTGGAATACTGTACTTAATTGTGCTGGTTTCGGATTTTTCCTGTCAGCTTCGCCAGTTCTGCAAAGTCCATCATCTTCATCTGCCTCTCTTCTTTTGTTGGTACTTCTTTTTGTTTCCATTTTGGGGCTAAAAAAATTCTTGCCTCAGTTGTTGCATACATAAACAGCCTTTTATCTTCCCTTGGTATCTCTTCGCCCACTACACCCAATAAAAAAGGCTTCTGGTTTTTTAACTAAAGTATTTTTAAATATTTTCTTTAACTTGTTATATACTATTTCCCAGAAAGCCTTTACCTCTTTACGAGTCCACCACATGTGGAAGAAGATCCCTTCCCTTTCTTTACATTTCCAACACTCATTGGTTCTTGTCTGGTACATTTTAGCAAGTTTAAATGGTAAAGGGACATCTGACCATTAGGTCCAGTCATGACCGACTCTGGGGTTATTATTATTATTATTAATTATTATTATTAATTATTATTAATTATTATTATTATTATTAATATCCCACCCATCTGACTGAGTTTCTCCAGCCACTCTGGGCAGCTCCCAACAGAATTAAAAGCACAATAAAATATCAAACATTAAAAACTTCCCTAAACAGGGCTGCCTTCAGATGTCTTCTAAAAATCAGATAGCTGTTTATTTCCTTGACATCTGATGGGAGGCTGTTCCACAGGGCGGGCGCCACCACCGAGAAGGCCCTCTGCCTGGTTCCCTGTAATCTCACTTCTCACAGTGAGGGAACCGCCAGAAGGCCCTCAGTGCTGGACCTCAGTGTCTGGGCAGAACGATGGGGGTGGAGACGCTCCTTCAGGTATACTGAGTCGAGGCCGGTTAGGGCTTTAATGGTCAGCACCAACAATTTGAATTGTGCTTGGAAACGTACTGGGAGCTAATTAAGGTCTTTCAGGACCGGAGTTATATGGTCCCGGCAGCTGCTCCCAGTCCCCAGTCTAGCTGCCGCATTCTGGATTAATTGCAGTTTCCAGGTCACCTTCAAAAAATATCTATCACTAGTCCTCCACACAAGGAAATGCCGTCCTGGAGCCCCAGCCTTTGCCTTCCTGCTCTCTGCTGCCACTTGTAGGGGATTTCGTCCTTTCTCATCATGAGGTCTTCTGTTCCACAGGCTTTTCTTGAGAGGCTACAAAGGCAGCGCTGGGCAGCAGAGTGGCTTGCCTCTCCAAGGCACGGGCTTCAGCACGCGAGACGCTGACAATGACAACTGCCGGAACTGCAAGTGCGCGCAGATGCTTTCTGGTGGTGAGTCGGCCTTTGTGCTCCCTGACTGGGAAGGAAGGGAGGAGAGAAGAAGGGGTCAAGTGAGAATGCAAGAGCTTTGAATCTTGAGTTTCTCTTTTTCCAGGCTCCACATTTCCAAATCAGTTTGCATACACACATATATAAGGCATCAGCATTTCAGTGCAAAATTCTCATCCTATAAACATTTGCATGTAATTTCCCCTGCTATACATATTTTTGCAGAGCACCTTCACCTAATAGAATGCCTTTTCATGTTTTTTTCACTAATGTATACAATTTTATGCACACTTTCCTCTATTTTTGTACACATTGCTTGGCCAGAGAGCTATGTTGTAAAACTAGGGAAAGCGCAGATTTTTTTAAGGATGGCTGCGTTTCCATTGTCATATTGCTTCAAAAAGTGTACATTTCTCTTCAAACCAAGACTCCACTAAAAGACTTAGTGCTTTGCCATTTTAAAGCAGTTTGAGTTTTTAAGCACTCTGTACATGTTTGTCTTCTGCTTAAGCATTTGGACAGCAGTGGTTCACAAACTTTTTGGGGGCCGCTGCTCCCTTGGTTCTATAAACTCGTCCCCCAGTGCCCCCCCACCCTATAAAACGTGGTTTGCATGAATAGTGATTTGCATGAGCCACTGAGGAAGGCAATAACACAATAAAATTCAAAACAGTAGCCTACGGGACCACCTCTCCTGGTATGTCCACAGAGGACCTTACGGTCTTCAAATAAAAACATCTTGGAGGTCCCAGGCCACAGAGAGGTTAGGCTGGCCTCAACCAGAGCCAGGGCTTTTTCGGCTGTGGTCCCGATCTGGTGGAACGCACTGTCCCAAGAGACCAGGGCCCTGCGGGACTTGACATCTTTCCGCAGAGCCTGCAAGACAGAGCTGTTCCACCAGGCCTTTGGCCAAGGCACAGTTTGACCCCCTCCTTCTGTAATCCTCATGGAACTCTAGCCCAATGGTTGCCATTAATTTGACTCTGAATTGATTTTAGAATGAATTGATTTTAGAATATATTTCAATCAATCGATGGTGATTTTATGTAAACTGTGTTACTTTTACTGTTGTTAGCCGCTCTGAGCCCAGCTTTGGCTGGGGAGGGCGGGATATAAATAAAATTTTATTATTAATTAACTAATTAATTAAATGAACAGATTTATTCAGAATCCAATTTAAACTATTTAGTTCAATTATTCCAACAAAATTGATGGGCTTGATCCAGCGATACCAGCTTTTCAAAGCTGAATAGTCATCTCCACTTCCAGCGACACCCCGCTTGCCTCTTAGTGCCCCCCTAGCAGGGGTGCCAACTTGAAAAAAATATTGGGGGTGCCAGGTAAGCCCCGCCCTGCATAAATAATCACAAGATGTGGCACCACACACATGGCAATGCCCATCAACTTTTTTGGGGGTGTCCCACTCAAATATTTTATGGGGGGGCGAAGGGACCTCAGCCCCTAGGAGTTGAATCCCACCATGGCCAGCGGGTGGTAGCACCTACTTTGGGCCCCACTGATCTGTGGTTTGCTTCTCCCGATTCACGTTCAGGTTGGTGGTTTGATGCCTGCGGACTCTCGAATCTGAACGGCATTTATTACCCGGCGAAGCACAATATCCGGAAACTGAACGGGATCCGATGGCACTACTTCCAGGGACCAGGCTACTCGCTAAAGGGGACGAGGATGATGATCCGGCCTTCGGGCAGCCCTGAAGGAGCATAGCGGAGAGACGCCAAGCAGGGCTGCAGTTTCTGTGAGCCATGGAGAGCAAACCTTGGCACAGGTAACAGGAACTGCCTTCCGGTTTGGACAGGTGGCAGGTGCAGAGAGACTCCCTGAGAAAGAGGCCCTCGCGGCTAGGAATTCATGGCTGCGGTTGAACGCAAAGTGCACCAGCTTTCTCTTTCTCCTCCCAGATGGCGCAGGAAGCTGTCTTTTGTGGGCTTTTGGACTTCCGAGAAAATGTACGGCGAACTATTCTGTATGTTAAAGGCTGAATCTGCCCGTGAAAAGTGTGTCACGCTATCTGGCTCGTTTGGGGGCAAGGGGCAAGCTTGTTGGGTAAATGCAGAAAAATCTGGTCAGATTTATATTATGTTGTTGTTGTTGTTTAGTCGTTTAGTCGTGTCCGACTCTTTGTGACCCTATGGACCAGAGCACGCCAGGCACTCCTGTCTTCCACTGCCTCCTGCAGTTTGGTCAAACTCATGCTGGTAGCTTCGAGAACACTGTCCAGCCATCTCATCCTCTGTCGTCCCCTTCTCCTTGTGCCCTCCATCTTTTCCAACATCAGGGTCTTTTCCAGGGAGTCTTCTCTTCTCATGAGGTGGCCAAAGTAGTGGAGCCTCAGCTTCAGGATCTGTCCTTCCAGTGAGCACTCAGGGCTGATTTCCTTCAGAATGGAGAGGTTTGACCTTCTTGCAGTCCATGGGACTCTCAAGAGTCTCCTCCAGCACCATAATTCCAAAGCATCCATTCTTCGGCCATCCACCTTTATATTATGCTTCAGGCTTTATTTGGGTAAAGACAGGCATGATCCTGCCTGTGTTGGTCACTCGTTCTGCAGAGATTGGTGGGAGTTCAGAAACATCTGGATTGCCAAAGGTTTTCCCCATCCCTGATTTATATAGGACAGAGTCATGCTCTGAAGATGAAGCTCTGAGTTCCCTTCTTTTGCTTCACATAAACACAAATAGGCTCAGAGACCCCACAATTTGGAGCCTCGGTGCCGTGAGTGGACTAAGCTGCCCTCTGCTGGCACAGTCTGGGTTGCAACATCCTTGCAAGAGACTGTGAAGCGTTTCTGCTGTGGTCGAGGGGTGTATGTGTCAAACTGGCCATTTTCAACCCCTTGCTTCAGCGATGGCTGGATAAGCTGGTCTTTTCTCCACATTGAACTGGCCAGCAGGGCTAGCCCAAGATGGGAAAATCAAAAAGACCCCTCCCCTTATTTGGCAGCAGGGGAATCAAGTCTCCAGCGAACCCTCCTGCAAAAGGCTCAGTAAAATCTCACCTCGCCTTGGCAGTTCTGCTTCAAAATATTTTGAGCCAAGGCATGAACGTGACGGGGGCAGCTTTAACTGTGCTCTACCTGCAGGATATCTGTCTGCCATTTACTTGTGGAGCAGCTTCTTTGGAGAAAAGGTGACACAACACCCCAAACGCTCCAGCCTCGAAAGCTGAGATTTCCCCCTTCTGCCTGCCCTGTATTTTTCCCTACAAGCCCTGCTTGAGGGCCAAAGCATGACAGCTGTCTGGAAAATAATGTTGGTGAACATTCCGTGATGTGCAGCAACTCTGCTGATAGCGAAGTGGCCATTTTTCGCTTGCAATATACCGTATTGGCCCGAATATAAGCTGCACCCGAATACAGTATAAGCCGCACTTCTAAAATTGGAGGGGGGGAGGGGAAAATACCCGAATTTAACCCTCTCCATTCCTTGCTGCTCCTGGCTGCATACTAGACAGGGGGAGGGGAGGGGACAGGGGACCATAGCTGTCAACTTTTTCCTTTTCTTGCGAGGAATCCTATTCGGAATAAGGGAATTTCCCTTTAAAAAGGGGAAACGTTTGCCCTGTGCACCTGGCTGCATATATATGCCACACTTTAACTTTTCACGGCTGGAATTTGGGGGGGGGGAGTGAGGCATCTATTCAGGCCAATACAGTATAAAACAAGAAGTATTTTTCTTTCTGTCACACCTCCGATGTAGCAAAGTGCTTCACTTCCTACGGTGGCCTGGAGTCCAGGGATGGCAAATTGCCCAGGGCCCAAATCTCACCCAGGGAGCACATGATTCCAAATGTCCATAGATGCACACAACCACATGAATGGAAGTCTGATCAGTCTATATACCACGAATGATCCCCATTTGCTCTGCATGAAATCCATTTGTGGGAGGTCGGCGGGTTGGTGTGGATATAATTTCTGGTTGACTTTAGAGTCTGAGGCCATCAAATTGTGACACTCTGGTGTCTCTGCCTTGTACCTGGTCCAAGAGACATCAGAGCCGACACCTGGGATCCTTTGGGAGGAAGGACACAATATAATAATAATAATAATAATAATAATAATAATATAGTATCCTTGTCATGGATATTAGTGAAAAATAGGTCGATTGGGATCACAGAAGCCTCTCCTTAATGCACAATTTAGCTTAATATTAAATGAACTTTGTAAATAGTCATCTTTGTTGTTTTGTGATTGGGTTGTTGCCTATGATCCAGTAGAAGAAAGGAGTTATATTCACTCTCATATTAAGCTTTATGTAGCTGACCTCCAGTCTCATCTTTGTCTTTTTCACCCCGTCCACTTCAAAGTGTTTCCTAAATGGTTTTGTTGTTGTTGTTGTTTTTGCTGCTGAAGTGATGTATTTGACAATTCTACAGTTTAAATGATACAGCAATTACCTTTGTATAATACAGTTGTGGTACAATAGTCAATGTTCAGCTCTTATTCCTCCACATTTGCCTCTGTAATGTTAATTTGTACTATGTATCTGAAAAATAAACCCCAAACAAAAAACTTCAGCCAAACTCCCCTTCCTCCTCCAGCTTTATTGATAGTTTAAAGTTACATTTCTATATTCTAGGACTTCAATTGCTTTTACCATCTGACGGTATTTGAGATCTTTGTTCATTCGAATGTCTCTTACTTTTATTCTTATCACTGGGAAACCAAAGAAAGGCTTCGGAAAGTGGCTATCGAGGGAATGATGTTGGTCAAGTTAGTATTGTTAATGTTGTTGGTTAACATACCAAGATGAACGCGAAGAGGGAATATTTTTTAAAGCTTTGAAAGAGCTCCATGACAGGTAACCAGCAGGCAGCACAAACCTGGAATAAAAAGCGTTTTGTTTTGAGCTTAGTGGAAAGTCATCGTTTAGGAAAGATTGGCATTTAAATGACGAAGTTGGGATTCAGACAGTTCATTATTTAGGAGCGACAATCCAATACATTTTGAATTACAGTAGATTTTAAAAATGAGAGATCATTGCTGATATACATGAGTTCAGGCATATAAATATTAAAGTCTAGTCTTGGGGACGGACGGACACTTTTGACACCTTAGCCTCTCAATTATCTTGACTTCTCCACCTCCTTCAGGACAAGAATGGAGAGATCATTTCGATAAGATTTTTGAAGAAAAGCCTAACTCCTTATGAAGCTTTGGAAAGCTTTCGAAATGCGTTTTCACTTATTACAATTACCACTATTGAGTTCTTCGTTTCCCTCTCTCATGCTATATCTCATTATCCTGTAAATACAGTTTTGAAAATTTGAAATAAACTAAGTTTTTATAAAGAACTTTTTCTCAGGTATTTTGAGTTGCGTTCAACGTCTGTACAACACCTGTCAGAATCCACAGGAAATACAGGAGGGCGTTCTTAATGGATAATAGCACACATTCAGGTTAACACAAGCAACTCAAGAGTTTGGTATCGGAGTGTGAGAACTGATCTCTTTATGCTGGGTTTTGACCCCTGAGATATTTACTTTTAGGTCACGCCTTATTTCTGGGATTTCAAGTTGTTTTGAATTGGGGGGTTTTCCCCCAAGGTGGCCCACGAAACAGATGCTTAATTGAGGTGTATTCTGTAACATGTTCTTGGTTTCTTTTTGTTTATTTTATTTTTCAAAAATTTACAGACACACAAATCACAAACACACAAATTGCATACAATTCCAATACACACATAAATTTGTCTTCCACCACCCACACCTTTGTGGTTTATTTTTAATTTTTAATGTTTTATGCTGCATTTTCACATTAAACAATTTTTAAGTTACTTTTCAGTTTCCCTTGATAGTATTTAAAAAATTCCCATTGCTCGGTCCCAGCTCCTGCCCACCTAGCAGTTTGAAAGCACGTCAAAGTGCAAGTAGATAAATAGGTACCGCTCCGGCGGGAAGGTAAACGGCGTTTCCGTGCACTGCTCTGGTTTGCCAGAAGCGACTTAGTCATGCTGACCACATGACCTGGAAGCTGTCTGCGGACAAACGCTGGTTCCCTCGCCCTATAGAGTGAGATGAGTGCCGCAACCCTAGAGTCGGCCATGACTGGACCTAATGGTCAGGGGTCCCTTTACCTTTACCTTTAATAGGTATCTAAATCCATTTGCACATGTTGCCTTGCAACCAGTCCATGCAGAATGTAGGCACCCTATATATAGAAAGGAGCAAACCAGGGATATTTGAAGGACCAGGCTAGCAGGCGGGGCCCATTAATTACATCATAGGAGCCTACACAACACAAAACTCGGTTGCTGTATGTAGGTTTTATTTTATACGTTTTTTTATCTTATGTTTTGGAAATATCCATCCTTTTTTCCCTCTAATTTTTTTGGGAGTCCCCAAGAGAGCGGGCCCTAAGCTATAGCTTGTTTAGCTTATACGTAAATCCAGCACTGGACTGGATCTTCCAAGTTAAACTCAATTTGCGGGAAAGTCAACCCCAACTCGAGCTTGCAAATAGAGCTTTTACCACTAGAGGTCGCCGCAGGCCAGAAATATAATTTGGAGCTGAACTGAAATTCAAATCAGATGCAAGTGAGATGGTAGTGATTCCCAATCAGGCATTATCATTGAACTGTAGACACTTCGAGGATCATCTAGCCCCAAACCTGAAATGCAGGAATCTTTTCGCCCAACGTGGGGCTCTAGCCCCAAACTCTGAAATTTCAACCCTCCCAACTGAGTTATCCCAGCTGTAATATAGGAAACCTTTTAAAAAACAAGAACAAGAGGATTTTGGACAATCTTGCCACTCTTTCTTTTTTCCTTTTTTCTGGCCCACATAGGACCAGTTTGGATGGCTAGCCTTGGTGAAGACTTGACGTTTTTATCCCCCCAAAAAGTTTTTGATTGAGTTTCCACTGAAATGAGGCTGCATTTTAATGTTTTAATGTTGTACAGTGGTACCCCGCAAGACGAATGCCTCGCAAGACGGAAAACCCGCAAGACGAAAGGGTTTTCTGTTTTGGAGGCGCTTCGCAAGACGAATTTCCCTATGGGCTTGCTTCGCAAGACGAAAGCCCATAGGGAAATCTCCGGGGACCTGTTTTAAATTGCTGGCGGTCGGGAGCAAAGACTTTCGCCCACAGCCGGCCTTCAGAAGAGGTCCTGGACCTCTTCTGAAGGCCGGCGGGGGGCAAAAGTCTTTGCTCCCCCCCGCCTGCCT